CCCTCAGCGTTGAACTGCTGCAGGAAACCAGACTAGGAATTAATCACGTCTTCACTATACTCTCATGCTGTTATTCAATAATAAAAATGAATGAAGCAATATGGCAGCTTTATTACAGGGGGTTAGGGTAAATAGAAAATTACATTGCAAGTATATAAGGGTGGTCAAAGTGACATCCCGTTAACCCGATGTACGCCGCCAAGAAACCGGAGGTAATCGGACATGAATATCACAGTTTCCGTCAAGTGATTTTCAAAATACCCTTAACCATGTATTATGTGCAATTGCCAATATGTAGATAAACCTATACTCTGTCTATGTGGCTATAAAGCATCATAAATTATACCATATTCTAGTATTTTACTGATTACTGAAGATTTCCATTGTCCTATCTCCTGAATCTTAGTGACCCTTGATGTACATTTAAGCATTATTTTATTAATTCAGGTCTGTGTATTAACATGACTAGGGGTTGTTTCAATAACACTACCAAGCATCAGAATCATTCTCACATTGTACAAATACCTTTTCATAGTAACACCGTGTCACACGCAACGTAATATTACCGTAATTGGTATAGTACAGGTGTGATGGTTCAAATACCAAAATGGCAACAGTAACATAAAGACTTCCCTGGCGGCGATGATAACATACGAACACGGAGTCAACAGATGAGGTTTCAACTGGTACTGGTATTATTATACTCTGCAAACATCAAGTACAATAACTCGGTAAAACTCCAAACCTCCAATAACTAGATACTTAAACTCCAACACAATTCAACGAGATCTCCGATCTGATCTCAGTGCTGAACAACTCCCCTATATATACTCACACTGTCTATAAATAGACCATTACATCAGCATACATAATGAGTCTGGAACTTACTACAAATTTCTAGAATGTTCCATTACCTTCTATTGCCTCCTACAGTGTTCTATTACCTATTCAACCAGTTTTTAAAAATTCCACCCAGACACAGTACGGTTCTAGAACATTCTCAGTCACACGGAAGTGGTAAACAAGTCGTATGCGACACACCGTATATTTATTATTTATATTAAGCTAAGTTTACAGAGAAAGTAATATTTCAGGAAGCCAGTGTTGATAGGGGCCATAGCCTTCAATGAAGTAGTAACACTAATTGTTAGTCCAGTGATATTTCTTAATTTTCAATGTTTTTTTTTTTATTTTATATAAATTTGATCAAATGTATCAAAATGTATTTATAAAACATATTTGAAAGAAGCTCAGAAAAGCATTTTAGTGAAAGGTGATTTTGGAAGAACAGGTGTTAGTACATGAGGCATGATATGATATGGAAAATATTAAAATTAATAACCAGAAATAAATTTGATTTTTGTCTATGGAAGTCTCAATTGAAAAAGAGTATCGAAAATTCACTATGTCTCAGCCGGGCTGGTAGAGTTTATGACTAATCCATGGAAAGTGTTTATTTACCACTTTTCAACTACATTTATTCATGTTAAAATGCACAATTGTTTTTCGTCAAAATATTACCTGAATTCTAAATAAAAATAGCTTTGATTATGAGAACTGGTTTCTTGAATATTTTGTGCAACAAAATTCAACATTTCTTGTTCATACTAGAAATCCTAGAATAAAATTTTATAAATATATATTATAGGTAAAGGTGATACAGAATTAGCCTGACAAAGTCGCGTGAGTTTCACCTTCCGCAGTACCCTAAACCCAACACACAAGTAGGGTCTGATGCCGTTCGGCCGGCGATGGCGCCACTCACGTCTTCATGTTGGACTAATACAAAATATTTTTTTTTTTTTTTTCATTTTAAGTAGGTAAAGGTGATACAGAATTAGCCTGACAAGGTCGGGTAAGTTGCGCCCTCCGCAGTACTCCAAACCCACAACAAAAGTAGCGTATGATGTCGTTCGGTCGGCGAAGGCGCCACTCATGCCTACATCTCAGGCTAGTACAGAATATAATACAAATATTTTTCACTTTTTTGCATTTTTGTTCATATAAAATGTCTTCATAATACGAGTACTTTGTGAGTATTTTCCGTGATACATGTTCCCATGTTTGCTCTATTTATGTCTTGGAAAATCCATGATCATAATTACAATATTGTTTTTCATATTGAAAAACCGCGTACATAAAGATGACGCAAAATAATCATGGTTTTCGTTATTGTTGAAGTTAATGACATTGTAATATAAAAGTGACACAAAATAATAATTTCTGACAACATTCAACACTATTTATTAGCTCCACTTTCGACAGAGCGGAGCTGTTCGTATTACTTATTCAAGTTGTCCGCATTGTCCGTCGGCGTTAACTTAACATTTTTGACTTCTTGAAAACTGCAAGTCCGATTGCTTTGATGTATATGTATATACGTAACTTGGGCGGATCGTTCTCGGATTCGTGATGATATCTTCAAACCTTCTAATTTTGATGATTATTTTCGTAATTTCTGGTATAAAGTGCTATTTTGAACATCTTCTTGAAAACGGCCTGCTCGATTGCAAACGTTTGCCCGGCGATGTATCGGACAAATTCGGTAATAGTTTTCTGACAACACATTTTGTTGGTGGTCGAGAATCCATAAAGCGGTTTGACGATATTGCAGTTGTCCATGATGTTTTGTTCTTTGTTTGTCGCATCTCTGTACTCTCTATTCACATTGCCTTCTCAGGCACTAACTAAATCAATGAATTTGCAAATATGATTTAACAGAATCGATTTGGGGAGAGGTAATTAACTGTAAAGAGCGTTTTAATGAGTTTGGGAAGAGCCGATTAACTGTGAAAAATCATGAAAACTACCCACTAAGGATTTTCAGATTTTGGAAAAAATACACTATCGATCTAATATATGATTCTTTATGTACATGCCAAGTATTATTGAGAAATACGGACACTCAAACGACCAGACGAAGCCCAAATTGTTAGTCTTCTTTTCAGGCTGCGCCAGAATTGGGACTCAAAATCCCTTAGTGTGGGAAATTCTCTAGGTGTCCAAAAATAATGCAGTAGTATAAATCTAATTTGAACTGAATTTGTAAATTAAACTGTGGTGGTCCCAGCTAGACTAGACTTTTCTCTATTTTCTGTACACGAACTCTAAACAATTACTCCGTCTACCCCATTTATAACTGTCCCTGTCAAGCGGAACGTTGAATACATTATGGTCCGCAGTATATTCATAGTAAGCGATGGCCAGTATCGCCAATAAAACATAACATTTCGGTAAATACCGCCTTTGAATGACAAATGTACGAGAGTCAAAGAGGGTTAGGGTCATTCACGAATCATTAATCACAAAATATGGATTACAAATAATAATGTGGGATATTTGTTATCGGAAAGATATTTCGGAGCTACGTCATTTTGTTCAAAGGGATACTACACTAATCAAAACAATATATAACAATATCAATGATCAACATTTATTGCAAAATATAAGTTTTACAAATGAATACAAACATATGTCTCATCCTCAAATCCAACAAATCGTTATTAGAATTCGGTACCAAATGTTCCCTGTCGGTGAAAGTCGGCGATGATGAAATCAGACCATTGTACATGAAAGGGGAAAATAAAGAAAAACTATAAATTTATTTACGATATTTCAATCGCATTGGTGAAAGTGTGTTGTCAACCGTTGACATAAATGCAAACCAGGACAGGGGAATCACGCACTGGAATCTTCGATACAATTTTATCGTCATACAACGGCGAAGTTCATATTGCTTTTGTTTGGAGTTACTGTCATGAATTTGTTTTTGCGTATCTGTTGACCGACTTAATTAGCTGATTATTAGCGAATTGCTGTGTTATGTCTGTCATCGTTTAGGCCTATTTGAAGTTTTGGACGAAACTTGGCTCAGTGATTTGGAACTAATTACCAGATAATCGCCGCTATTCAGACAACTCATTCTGACAGTTTAGATCCGTAGTTATTAATGTAGTGAACGATTAATCAAAGATATGACGTATTCAGTACTTAGTGGTGATTGGATTTCTGATTGAAAGTTACGCCCTAGAGTCTTTTTACTGCTTTGTAATTGGTTAGAGTTTTGAAAATGAATAAAGAGAGTTTGAGTTGGTCTTGGGGAGTACTCCACGACAGACGCAGTCGAGAGTCAAGTCCTGGGGCGAGCCTTGAGGCAGTCCAGTCTTGGGCGAGTCTTGGTTCAGCCTTACGATAGTTTTGGGGATTTTTTCCCCAGAGCGCTGTGTCTTATAGAGTGCTCGATTGACCGACTAAGATGAGAGCTGAAACGTATTTCGTTGTGTGTGTCTTATTTGACTGTAAAGTTAAAGTGACTTTCCCGATCTCGTTACCTCAAGGGGACGTGACATAGAGACGAGACGAGATTCCCCCCTGACAAGGGTGGAGAACCCCCGAGAGTAGAAGAATTTCATTTTCAAAACTCTAACCAATTACAAAGCA